TATTTTTTTTTGCTTTGAATTAATTTTTTGTTAGCTTGCGTGCAATAAAAAATCGACGCTCTAACTGCTAACTAAACATACTATATTTTGAAGCGATGAAATATTTTTTTTTTGGTAATTTCAAGAACCTTCACCATATGTTTTGGATTTTTTGTTTGTATTGCTACAATTTTCTTACTTACCCACTTCTTTGATGGCGGTTTACAAACAGTTTCTACAGCATCTGGATTTGTATAAACATACAATTGTTGAAAATTTCCCTAATTAGAGTAAATAAAATAAAATAAATATTTGGACATAAAAAACTCTATAAATAGCCTTTACGCCGCAAACTTTTGGGAAAGTACACATTTTTTATTTTTTTAATTATAAAGTTGGAAAACTTATTTTCTTACGTAGAAAAATCTTTGCATAATATATAGAATCATAAGTTTGAAAATAAATGTTAGAAATTTCAGTAAAATTCCATTGCAAATATTTATTAACGTTTAGATTGAAAACTTTTCTTATCTTCTTAATTTTTTTTATTTCCCCAYATTTCGTGCTAAAAATTTGTACAACCGCACTTGCAACGCGAACTTTCCTCACATATTATAATATAGCGCAACAGCGTAGCAAATGTTGAGTGGAGTGGTGCAAAGGAAATTTAAACACGCAACAACAGCAACATCACCAAYATCCTAAAGCTATCGGCGTGGCGTCAACTTGCGGCGGCAGCCACTTTGATGTGAGTTCATAATGTTTTACATGTTGTTCGACAAGCCTAGTAATTGTTGCYTGCTACATACAAGCTATGCACTTTATTTTGACACTGACGCGGCCTTCCCTTGCTAGTGTGGCATGCAACTTCAATAAGGCGGGGAACTTACTCATATGTATGTATTACCAATCCATTTCAGTTTATACATATGTATGTGCATGTGTTCGCTTGCCAGCTGCTTGCGGCAACACACACCTTGAGCTGKCAGACTCATTAGCATTTTTCGGCCGAGTGCATAAGGCTGGGGCGCATTTCCGGATGGAATGGGGGTGAAATGTGTATTTTTCTGTATGMAAGTGTATTTCTTTATTCGCTACTTCATTATGTAACTAATTACGAAKGAGTGTAATGTATACTTACAACAACAAAGCTACCGCTTTTGGAAATTTTTAGAGATTTAATTAAAAACCTTGCAAACTAATTAATTTTTCTTAAAGTTAAAAACAAAAATAATTTTTAATGTTTTCACGGGCTATCGAGTTTTGTGAAGAGCAAWATATGAACGGTAAATCAATAAAGCTATAAACACGGTTTGAATTTCTTAATAAATTAAAAAAATTCTTTTTTCGAAATTTAATTATTCCATTGAAAAATACTACTGAGAGGATTAATAACATGTTATCATATCCTTAACAGAGCACTCGTTAAGAGCCGTTTGACGTTGTTTGATTTGATTCTGAATATCAAATTAAAGGAACATATTTAAAAAAAWAAATAAAWAAARAAAARAAAAAAAAAAAAAAAAAAAAAAAAAAATTAATTAATTCTTTGTATTAATATTTTTTAACAGGTGGCAACTCCAGTTTTATTATATTCAAAGATTATTTTTTTCTAATCAATTAGAACAGTTTTGGAGCAATGGACACGATTGTAATAAATAACGTGCATTTATTTTAAAAGTTGCATGCCACTGTACATACATAGTATCGTGTAGCCTTGTGTACTTCAGAAATTGCTTCTYTTATTCAATAACATAATCCCTGAAGTATAGCAACTTTGATCCTTTCTCAACTTGAACTTCCTCTTCTTGCACCACCAGCACTTCTTCAACACACTAACACSAACACAAAAATTGTTTCTTCTCGAAAGAAAAGTATTGCACTCAACTGTGAATAAAATAAATGACACAATTTTTTCACTCTTCTGCCAAGCAGCGCCATATTAGCCCAAATGTTGCAACTCTAATAAGTTACTAGTTCGCTGGCACGACAGCTGAGCTACCCAACAACAACAGTGAAGCCAAAGCGGCAAAAATACACGCAAGCAAAAAAAAAAGGTAAACAAAGCATGTTAGTAACAACAGGCGCCTGGTGGCACATAGCTGGCGCCGCGCTGCCATTTTGATAAATGTGAAAGCGGCGGAAGTTTGCTCGAGATTTACGAGTTGTGGCAGGCAAACACCAAGCTTAACTTCAASCGCCACGCCAAAATAAAACCTAAACGCTGCCGCAAACTAAATGCCAACGTTGGCTGAGGCATGGTRGAAGCTGCGACTGCAYTGRTTGTTGTTGCTGTACTGTYGCAGCAACCAAAGTRGCRCAAGTTGCTGTTGCATGCCACAAACGCAGATTTTAAAACTTATAAAAWATTACTTTTCAAGACAAATTCACGCCACATAAATGAAAGAAATGAGCAATTTACAGCAGAAAACAAAACGAAAGCAAACGAAGCAAATACGAAGGGTTAAGAAAATAAGAGGAAATCCTATAACRTTTGATACGAAATTCCTAGACAAAAAGCCGTTAACCAAGGAAGTGTTTCTATTATGTAATAATTTTATATTTTATGCCACAAAATTGTTTCTTTCAAAAAATTATAACAAAATTTCATGAAGAGACTTACAAGCACCTCAACATAGAAACAGTCGAAATAATTCTTATCACATACCGTTACATTGCAGTACTCTACAAAGTGGCAGGCTCATTTATTAGGACAACACTTTCAGTGTTCCACGGTGTTTTCGTCTACTTTTTAATTCGCTCTACTTCGTTGTTGTCATGTTGTCGCAATGCTTGTTTGCTCAGCTGTTTACTTCGCTGCTTGTCTGCCTACCATGTTGTCACGTTATCTTGTCATTTTGATGGATCTCGGCTATAAGTCTTTGTGGGCACAACCGAGGTACAACAACACAACAACACAACAACAACATGCCAACACCGCGACAGGTTGGCAGGCGACACTGCGTTAGTGCGAAGTGCCAAAATCAACGACAACCACAACTTTGGCGTTGACGCCACACCGCTCACTTTTAGCTAGAATTCTCAGAGCCAATCCATGTTTTTTGGTCGCATGGACCTGAGTGAAGTAGGTGAGCCAGCAAGTACGTTTGCTCGATGCGCCTAGATAAAGGTCTGAACCTAATTTGTGACTATATTTGCGGGCTTAGGTTCTCAGTGAGCTCGACTGCGTGAGTGAGATAACAGTTATTTCAAATGAAACTGATGGCTGTTGCAGCAACTTGTTTGGTTTAAAAATGAAAACTTGATATTTTTAACGTAACTAACGGGCTTCTTGCATCTTTAATTTTTTTTTTAATTTATAAGCAATTATATCATGGCGTAGCCACTACTTGTGCGATTATAGCCGAGTTAACAATAGCGCGCCAGTCGTTCTTCTTTTAGATACGTGGCGCCAATTGGAGGATTCAAGCGAAACCAGGTCCTTCTCCACTTGGTGCTTCCAACGGAGTGGAGTCTTCCTCCTCCTCTGCTTCCCCCGACGGGGACTGTGTTGAATACTTTCAAAGCTGGAGTGTTTTTGCCTATTCGGACGACATGACTTAGCCGTTGAGTGACATATATAGTTTGCTTTTTGTTCGTGGAGAGAGTGCTTTGCTTCTCAATTGCCTTGGCAAGAGTTATCCTGCGTTGGATTTCCAGGCTGACATTATTGGTGGTGTTTACGCTGGTTCCAAGATAGACGAAATTATCTACGATTTCAAAGTTATGACTGTCAACAGTGATGTGAGTACCAAGTCGCGAGTGCGATGAAAGTTTGCTTGATGACATTAGATATTTCGTCTTGCCCTCGTTTACTGCCAGATCCATTTGCTTTGCTTCCTTGTCCAGTCCGGAGAAAGCAGAACTAACGGCGCAAGAGTTGAGGCCGATGATATCAATATCAGCTGTACACTCTTATCAAATATTGAAAGAAAAGTTGAAGCTACCAGTTAAAAAAAACTAGTTGCCTTAATTGCCACCTGTTTCCAATATCTAAAAATATTGATGTAAAATATTCAGCAATACTATGCTTATCAAAAATATTTTGGCAAAGGGTTGCCACCACAAACTCATTAAAGAAGTTTACCCGTGCAGTGGAAATAGAATCCACCAATTTTCTAAAAATAAAATAACTTTGGATTCGAATGCTTTTCTCGAAAAATGGTCCTGTATAACTAAAAATTTTCAATCCAAGTGACTAAAAACAAACTGGAAAAGCAAAATAGGTGCTAAGCTCGCTGAGCGACCTCTGGATCACCTGAGAGAGAAAGTTCGATGAGAATGTTGAAGTGGCGATATCATTGCTCCTGGAAAAATATTTATCAGATTTTATTAAAATAATTTTTTATGGATGGAAATGAATCATTTCTGTTTGGAAACTGGTGGCAAGGTTATAGCTTAYGATGCACTGCAACAGATCTGTGGCACCAAAATAGTTGTGTGATGTGAAAAATAAAACAAAGGTTTAAGTTCTCAAGAAAGTTGTAAACTTTAATTTTTATGAATGAAAAACTGTCTGCAGAAAAATAATATTGCATTTAAATYAAAAACAAATCATTTCTCATTTAACATATTCACTTTACTCACCACTGCTTCACCACTTTTCCTTGCGTCAATCAATAAAACCTTTAAAAAATGACGGACATAAAGAGATGAGCAAAGCTGCCAATTCAACGGCTGAAACACACGCACATGCGCAATAATATATTGTTGTTGGCAGCAAAATCCAAGCGATGCATTGCACATATGTCTCTTGCTTGCTTTTCCGGGCAGCGCTGAGCATTGTTGCCAGGCGATATTTCAAATTGAATGCTCAGTTTTAATTAAATTAATTAATTGTAATACTTCAATGGCGGTTGAATAAAGCATTCCACATGCCTGAACACTATTAAATACGCGCAGACAGACAGACACACTTTCGTGTTGATACAATGTGTGTATTCATCGCAGGCAATTCAATAAATCCAGCGCCAAATAAGGCAGCTGAAATCAGCTCCATTTCATGTCACTGATCAACTCCGCCAATGACACCCGACCTGCTGCCATAGATGAATGTATTCGACGTTGCAGACGCATGTGTGCCTAAGTGTGTGTTGTTGCATGCGTCTGCTGTCATTCAGTGCCTTTTGAAATTCGTCGCAATATAGTTGAACTTTAATTGAATAATTATCTTTTTTTTAAACACACCAAACATCAATATTTTAATTAAAATTTAAAATATTCTCAAATGTTGTTGGCAGTCTACTAATTTCTGAATCGATATACATATTTCAATCTTTAT